CGGGGGGCGGGGGGCTGGACATGATTTCATCACCCAGGCCCAGAGGCGAGGCCGGGAGCGCGAAAAGGAGGACTGGGCCGCAGGACCGGGGTCCCAGGCCGCTGGGGTGGGGAGGAGTCGGGGTGTCTGACGGGGGCAGGGCCCGGCTCGAACTCCTCTCGCATTAGGATGGCCCAGGAGCCCTGCAGACCACGCGGTCTGTCCCAGGAGAGCCACCAGCAAGCGGGAGTCGTGCAAGGGCGGTGCCCAGGCCTCACACCCTGAAGCCAACCGGGACTCGAACGGGCTCTAAAGCCCAGGCGCGAGCCTGAGCCTCCGGTGGGCGGGACGGCAGGTGCACGCTTGTCATTGGGTAGCCTTGCTGTCAATCACTGAGAAAACGCGACGGGAGGATGGGCTAACCCAATGGCGGTCGAGGACCTCGCCTTCGCGGAAGATTGGCAGGTACGCAAACCACTGAAGCGCCGCGGAGGGATACCAGCGCCGTGCTTTCAAATCTGACGTTTTTAATGTGCCTGGTCGCTCAGTGTATATACGGTAGATACTTTTCCTAGAATTACTTAGATTCTTGGGACCTGATAATGCACCTGTCATATAGAGGATCAGGGTACTAAGTCCCAAATAGCCACAAAGACCATAGGAACCGTACGCTCTTCGTTGAACTAAAGCTAAGAGGAAGTGGATGGTAGTCAACAGAAAACGGAACATAGAACAGTTTATTGGGGCAAAGTGCAAAAGGGCCCTAAACATTTTAATGGGCTCTAAGGCCGTTTCACGTAAGGAAGAATACAAATTGACGTTTACTGAACCAACATTTCTGATCCATCCGTTTGGCAAAAGTCGGAAAGCTTGACAAAGAATTCTGTTAAGGAAGGTGCAGAAATTGGTTCTCCCTACGGCAGAGGGTGCAGACTGACCTTTGACCTAAGGAGTCCACTCTGCAAATTCACTTCCACAAGCAGGAAACGACACGTGCACAGAGCTTTATAGTGATATTATTTGAATTAGCAAAATCCTGAAAATGAAGAGGCTGTCGGAGGGAGAAATTGCTGAAAAAACACTGGGCTGTGGGATTCAAAAGAAGTAGCAGCCAGGGATGGTGGTGCGCACCTGTGATCCCAGCGTTCTGGGAGGCTGAGGCTGAGGCTGGAAAATTCAAGCCTGGGTGATTTAACAATTTAATGAGACGTGTCTCAAAATTTAAAAAAAAAAAGGGGGGGGAATGGTTTTGAGATATAGCTCAGTGCAAAAGCCCTGCGTTCCATCCCCAGTACCGGGGGAAGAAACAAGAAATTAGGAAGATGGCAGTATTTTCTAAGGAATGATCTAGCTAGAGAAATTGTAGGTAGCAATGCTAAAAAAGAAATGCTAAAAGGGTAGAACCTAAAATGATAAAAATGGTTAGATTATTTGGTAGAAGTCCTACGGGTAAAAATAGAAAACAAAACGGTAGTAGTTTAAACAAACCAGACAACCACAAAAGTGTGGCAGTGGAAAAATCTCTGGGCTAGAACTGTTTTCCTGGACCCAGCAGTGCACCTGGGAAGGCACGCTTGGCTAGGTGGGCCTTGAGTTATTTAAAACTGGGGTGTCACGCTGTAGACTGGGCTAAGGATTTCTGGTATTCTGATCCTCTCCAAAAAGACCTCTCCCTGGAGGCTTTGAGGACAGGAGAGGGGAAATAGCATTGACGTGGGAGAGTAGGAGACCTGCCCACCCAGCACTTCTCCTGCGGTGGGGTGACAAACCTCATGGATGACTGTGGATCTCAGCCAAGTCCAGCAGTCCTGCAGATGCTGGTGTTCTTTAGCAGTGCCTACTTCCACATAAATGACTGCTGCCTTTATTTATTTATCTTTATTCATTTATCTAAGACAGAGTCTTACTGGCCTTAAACTCATGGAGATCCTCCTGCTTCAGCCTCTGGAGTGCTGAGATCATAGGTGTGCACCACCATGTCTGGCGACACCGTTGCCTTTAGGAGGTACAGTTCTGGGTCTTCCTGGATCCATCCATTTTTATAGTTGAAATCTGATTATGTGCTTTTTTCCCCCAGGCCCAGAGAGCCACCGAGAATATAAAGTTGGGCTTTGTCAAACTCTTAAGTACAGGGAGGTCCTTCAGAAAAATGCATTTTCTTAAAATCAAATGGGAAAGGCCAAACCCACAGTGAGCTATTAAATGATTCATGTGTTCGGAGTTAAGAAAAACTGAAAACCAGTACGGATCATCCATAGGAGTTCACAGCAAGGTTGCCTCCAGTATAGGTAACTCATGGCCCTTGGAGAAGGCAGTTATTTGTAATACAGGGACAGAGGAGCCAGCTAATCCTGTCCACAGGGTGGAGCTACAACAGTCACTTTTGGAGGAAAGGAGGCCCGGAAGAATTTATAGCACAAGGCTTGGTAAATGGGGATGAGCAACCAGGGGACCCGCGTGGTTCTGAACCTGGTGCAGACCGGGATGAGCATCTGAGTCACTGCTTTGTGTCTTAGGGCGGTCAGCCAGGGGCAGGGCGCGGAGCAGAATGGGAGGGGTGCACCGAAAGGCTTAAAGCCTGGTTCCCACTGCCAGCTGTGGCTCTGAACACCCGTGTGATCTCTCAACAGCAGCCTGGAAGAGAGTTGGTTTGAGGCTGGCTTTTCTTGGCTGTTATGGCTCTGGGCCTGGGCGGAAGTGACATCACTTTTATGGCTCTGGGCCCGGGCAGAAGTGACATCACAGTGATATTCTGCCATGGGCTGCCGTATAGATGCCTCCTTCCGTGTTTGCTCTCTCGTTTGTCCTACCCTGTATTTCTTTCCTCCCCCCACCCCATATCACAGTGGTCCCATCCCCTTGCTCATGTTTGGAGGAAACAGAGGTACATGGAATAGTCTCGCCACTGGGACTGGAAGGAACACTTCTTCTACTCCTAGACACAAAAGCAAGAGATGGTCCCTTTCCTAAGAAGTGACATCACTTTTATGGCTCTGGGCCCGGGCAGAAGTGACATCACAGTGATATTCTCCCATGGGCTGCCGTATAGATGCCTCCTTCCGTGTTTGCTCTCTCGTTTCTCCTACCCTGTATTTCTTTCCTCCCCCCACCCCATATCACAGTGGTCCCATCCCCTTGCTCGTCTGGAGGAAACAGAGGTACATGGTATATTCTCGCTACTGGGACTGGAAGGAACACTTCTTCTACTCCTAGACACAAAAGCAAGAGATGGTCCCTTTCCTGCTTCTGGACATGACACCTGGGCTCCTGCAGCCACCTTGACACCATGCGGAGAGCCAGTCTGCAGCAAAAGGCCAGGAAGGGGCCGAGTAAGAAAATGGCAGCTGAGCCCTGGGCCTGGAGTCGCTGTTCCTTTGCACTTCTCTTGAGAGACTGCCTTCTTATTTAAGCCAGTTCAGTTAGAGTTTTCTCTTTGCCTTCAGGACATCTTAGCCACACTACAAGTGTACAAAAGTTACTTCCATGTATTTTCCCCACAGCCAAAGGGGCTTCTGACTGAAGTGCGCATGAGTTATTCCTGTTTGGTAAAATCTGAAAAGGGCTGAGGAGTGAGAGAGGAAACGGGGTCCCTGGGTCCTAAGATAGGGAACATCCTGGAGTCACAGAGAATCTAACATGCATTTACAAAAATGTAAGACTACATTTTTTTTTTTTAAAAAAGAGAAGCACCGACAACAAAAATGAACAGAAAAAAAGCACAACAGCAGATGCAGAGCAAAGCAAGTATCCTCGGCAAAGAGACAAAAGAAGGGCTGGGGATTTAGCTCAGTGGGGCCACTCCTGCCTCGCGAGTGGAAGGTCCTGAGTTCCATCCCCGGGAAAGGAAGGAAAGAAAGGAACACGCACCAGGGAGCTCCCCGAGAAGCTGGGGCACCCAAGAGGTGATGGGAAGGAGTTAACCCCAGTCACTCGAGGTGTGTAAATAAGCTCGAGTTCTTCGGTTAAGTGATTTCATTTGTTCTGGCAAATCAAAATACATCTAAGAGCGTTCACAGGTTCCCTCTGTGGCACCTGCCCTAGCTCCGTTTTCTTGCTGTCCATGGCACTGTGAGAAGCAGGGATGGTGGGCAGGAAGGAGCCAGTGTCATTTCCGCCACCATCATGGTGCATTTATTCAGGGACCGACCGGCCACCTGTGGTGTCCCAGGTCCTGTCTCATAGATCATTTGAGCACATATATATATGTGTGTATTTATTTTGTAGCGCTGGGGGTCAAACTCAGGACCTCGCACCTGCTCGGCAAGCACTCTACCATGGAGCTACGGCCCAGCCACATGCTTGGTATTCTAATTCTTCTGTTTTTGGTATCAAGGATGGAACTCAGGACCTCGTTCTTGTGAGGCAGGCACGGGCACCGCTGAGCTAAATTCCTGGCCCATATTCTATTTCTTCCATCTAGAATGTCTAGTATTCGTTATAGAGGAAGTCTCTGCTTCCGTGACAGAAACTCTTAGGGGCAGTGCACTGGGACACCACTGTGTGCCCCAGGGTAGGAGGTGAGCCTTTGAATTCAACTTTTGGCTAAAGAACGCTCCCCTGCTGCTTGCTTCCCAGGACAGGAGATTCCAGACACCCTTCTGAGGCAGAATGAGAAGGGGTGTCTGGGGCAGGAGCTGTGTTCATCCTCCGTCCTGTCCCCGACCACCCCGAATTCTCTCCACCTGACTTGTTGGGGCCCCCTGGCCCGCCGGCCTTGGCCCACTGGGGGTGAGAACCGAAATGGCTCAGCAGCCGGCCTCAGAGGGACAGTGACAGCCGCAGGAACCAAAGGGTGGGGATTTTTTCCTCTGCAGAGAACAATGCTGATTCCCACAAGAGACCGAAATAAATCGCAAGTGTTGAGCAAAATCATACGTAACCTCCATCGCTGTCTCTATGATCAAGTCCGGCCTGCAAAAGTCTGGAAACCACAGCACTTGGGCCCAGGGTCGGGACAGTCCTGGCCCCGCAGTCCGGCCATCCTGTGTCGCGTCTTGCTGGGCGGCGGCCTACATGTCGTAGAGCCGGAGCTGCTCCTGCACGTCGCCATCGGACATCTCGCCGAAGGTCTCCTTGTTGTCCTTCAGGAGCTTAAAGATGGCAGCCAGCTGCTCTTTCTGAACTCTGTCGAGAAGAAAGGATAAGAGGAAAAAGATGCTCCTGCCCCCGCGGACAGAGACTTTGTAGCTGTGGGCGGGGTGCGGGTGGACGAGGGACTCTCTTCTCTCCACTGTTGCTGCCTTTGCTTTTAGGGAGCCTGACCCGGGAGGATCACCACGCATTCCAGGCCAGCCTGGGCTACACAGACCCTGTCTCAAGAAAAACAACATAAAACAAAACTCCCCCTAAAGAATAAAACCTAACAGGACAAACTCACTTGAATCGCAGAGACTGGCTTGCTCTCACTCTCCACACAGGGGTTCTAAGGTTCAGGTTAACCGTGGAGGTCGGGGGGTCTGAAAGTATCCCTTAGGGTCCCAGGGTGATGCCTCAGTTTCTCCATGTTCACTGTGGATCTTACAGTCAGGCAAGGAGGAAGAGATTATGTCTCATTAAGCAGCTTGCACTCCAGTGAAGAAACAGCCTGAGTTTAGGGGGATTGGCCGAAAGCGGGGTGGGGGGAGCGTGCAGGAGGCTATGCAGGAGCCGGCAAAGGGGCACAGAGATGTTGCACAAAGATGCACTCTGGCGGTTGGTGGCATTCTTGTTTACGGCCCTTGGGCTCCAGGGCTGGTACCCCTGTTATCTTTATGAGGCTCGGCCCCACCATCTGTCCAGCAGGGACAACTCCCACAGCATACACAAAGGGTGGCCCGAGGTAACCCAGGAAGCCAGGGCTCAGGACGGTGCTGTTTGCTCCTCTCTGGTGTCCTGCACTGGTCCACACGACCGGTCCACTGTGGTTCCCTCTCCCTATGCTGGGTTCTTGATTCTGTACTAACTTTAAAATTTTTATGATAGTAAAAGAAGCATTGCCACGAGTCCCCCTCAAAAATATCCCCCCTTGGGTCGGACACACTCATTCCTGCCACTTTCTGCAGCTGGTCTGGAAGTCCTCCTTCGCGAGTCTTTACGCTACACAGTTTTGGTTGCCTCGATGCCCTGAACGAATTCCAAACATTGACTTTTTGTGGCCATTTGGACATAGGGAAGAGCCCGAAGTCACAAGGCCCCGGGTTTGGTGAGGAAGGTGAATGAGGACGCTGTGTACGTAATGTTTTTGCCAGCCTGGCTTTCTGTCGAGTGGCGCTCAGCAGCAGTGCAAACTCACCACGTCCTCGATTGCAGCTCGCCACGGAGGACTTCCGGGAGGGGTTCAGAAAGCGGCAAGAATGACGGGACGTGTGTGTTCCAAGCGCAGGGGTGTGTTTTGAGGGGGACGAATGGCAATGTGTCTCCTGTAATCAATTTTAAACATTTAAACCTTCGCCATGTTTTCGACCGCTCCAAAGAAAGGGGGATCATGAGCCTGAAGGGTGTGCTGAGCGCTGGGATGGCGTCACTACCCATGTGCAGGTGAGCGAGTGTCTCCCTCCCTGAATGAATCGAGGTACTTCACAGAAGCACCTGTGGCAGGGTGGGCACAAGGCCTCCTGCTCTGTGGAAGAATAACAGCATGAAAATGAATGAGAACTCAAAATTTAATCAGTTCCAAAGAGACTATTAAAAAAAAAAAAAAAAAA